CTGCCAGTTCAAAGGCAGCTTCAGACCCATCCCCCAGTCCTGGTCCCCGGAGTTCTGGGGCCTCTTTGTGGGGATGCTGTGGAGCTCTCCGCGGGGGATGCCCACCGTCGGGCACCGAGCACGGGACCCAGCACACCGTATTCCCTCGCGGTGCTCCCCTGTTCCCGCAGCATCCCAAAGTGCCGCACCCAAGGGGCTGCGCGGAGCAATTATGGGCTGTGCTGTAACAGGGGTTCGTTTCCCAGGTGCCCCCCAGGAGTGTGTTGAAATCACCCCCGTGTCCCAAACCGTCGGCGCTGCCAGACACGCCTGGTGTGAAGAGAGGAAGCACCTTCCCAAGGTAAGCCGTGCAGGCGCTGGCTCACCGGTGTCCCCGACATCTGTGCGGGTGAGCGCTCGAGGGCAGCTGTAGAATCGAGGAGGGATGGAGTCAGCCCCACGCCGGGGTCCCACGAGGCCAGCTCTGCCCTGCTCTGCCCCATGCCCCTCGCCCACGGCCAGGCCCGTGGGGGTCCTTGCTCATGGTCCGGCAGCCAGACGAGTACCCGGGTGCCTGGTACACGTCTCGAAGCTCACAGCACCGCAGCCCACCCTCTCGCAGCATGGCAGGAGCCCTCTCCCTGGCTCACCCGTGGCACAGCCTGCTGCCCGTCGGTGCTGCCCGCGAGATCGTGGTGCCAGGATGTGCTTCACACGGAGCAGCGCCCGAGTCTGCCTTGAGCTCGCTTGTCTCATATTTGATTGCAAATCAAATGCAATTTGGTTAGCAGAAAGGCAAACAGACACTTCCAATGACTTCCTGCTAACGACTATCAGATGAGCAGATGTAATTGCAAACCCCGACAGCTATCGGAAAATGAAATGAAGATGCCGCTTGCATCCCGGTCGCATGACACCTCTGACGTCTTCTCCTTCCGTGGTTCGTGGGCTGGAGGGCAGTGCTGGGGGACACAGCATGCCGCATCCCTCCTGCTCCCTCCACCTCCCACTGAGGCAACTGGTACCAGAAAAGCCAAGCTGGTTTTCTGGTAGCCCAGGCTGCAGCGGTTCCATGGGGACACCAGATCCTGGGTATGCCCCCGGTTCTGGGGAGGCCATGAGGTGCAGGGCGGGAGCTGGGAGTGGGTGCCCTCCCCAGGGGTCTCGCGCTGGGTTTGTCTGTGTGCCATCTTCCAGGTGAACCAGATGGGTAGTTTTGCACCTCTGCTTCATTAAACCGATGCAACGGCTCTGCAGATACCTACTTATACCTACAACAGGTTTATTTTAGGTAAAGGGAAAAGTTTTCAGTGGTGACAGAGAGATCGAGGAACCAAAACCCCTCCTGCCTTTGCCCCTTGATGAGAGCGCTTTGGGCCCCAGACCTCCTGAGAAGGCACCACGTGAGACCTCAGCTCCTTGTCCAGACTCTGGTGCATTAGATCTAAGGAGATGATTCCTGGGTCAAAGTCATTTTTGAACCTGAGTTTAAGCTGCCAGCTCTTGCAGGCTGGTCCATGCCAGGGTCACCCACAGCAGCATGCTCGAGCGAAGGGCTCTGCTCCCCGATGCCGCAGCCCTCTCCCTGCTTGGCTTTGCTTCTCCAGGCTGACCACGTCACACCGTGTTCTCTCCCATGCATCTCCCCTCTCCAGGTGTCCTGGCAGCCCAGTTCGGCTTCCTCCTCCTGGAGTGGGCTCCCCACTCTCTGTGCACCACCGGGCCAGGTCTCAGTACTGTACCACAGCATCAGTGTTTTCCCACACGGACTGGAAACCTTTCCGCTGTCCCTGTGGCCAGTACAGCATCCTGTGCCCCACTCGCTGCTCATGACCACCCTGAGCTGACCAGACCACTGGGTCTCCAGCCGAGGACCCTGCAGGCAGGCAGACTGCTCTCTAATCCCAGAGCTCCTGTGTCCATGTAGTTTTCTTTCCTTTTTTGCCCCCTAAAGCCTTGCAAACACCCGGCGCAGGATTCCTCTCCTTGCACTGGCCGCAGCCCGCACCACGAAGATGCTTTGCACCCTCACTGCAGGAGCAGCAACGCTCATTCCTCCCAAATCCAGACCCAGCCACGCTCCCCTCCCGCAGCCCTGCTGACACGCAGCAAACCCCTGGAGACTGTCCTCCCCCCATGATACTGCTGTCCCCGTGCCCCTCACTTTGTCACCAGCCACCCCGCCTCTGCCATAAATTGTCATGGTCCTCCTAGAAAACCGGGAGTGAGCGATGCCTGACTTGGAGGGCAGCGAGCTGAGCCGCACCGTGGGGCTGCCTGTCCTTTGGCTTCACGGCTGAAGGGCGTACCGTAATCTCATAACGCCACGAGCAACTTCCACAGCCTCCCCTCACTCCTCCGTCTTTCAGTGCAGACTTTGCTTTCCAGGCTCTTTTCTGTCCTTGCAGACTTCCCACTCTTTACGAATACGTAAACATGTTGCTTGTTTGCTTAGGGGAGCAGCCCTGCTCCACCAGCCTCTCCCTTGTGCTCGAGAGGGTGTTTTTAGCTGGGTTTTGCACCTTTGCCCTCGTGAAGTCCCAGCTCTTTTCTATGTTTGCATGCTTGACTTCCTAAACCTGCCCAGCTGCAGCCGCCAGCTCCCCTCGCTTGTCCACATCCTGATTTGTGCTTGTTCCCAGCCGCAGCCACCAATCTGCTCCTATTGATCTGTCTGTCTACGCAAAACGGCATTGACTCATGCCTGCTCTAGCTGAAGTTATTTTCTCAGATAGCTCTTCTAAAAACAGCCTGTTTTTCAGGAACAGGTACAAAAAAAACCCCCATCAGCTCGCTTCATGCTGTGACCTGGTGAAGAGATATGTGAGACATCATATCCAAGGATGTCTGGAATGACCACTACAGACAAAGCTGTGATTTATAACCCCACTCCCCTCCAAGAAGTTACTCTTCCTCGAGGATTTTTTTCTCCTGGGGCTTTGTGTTCCCCCCGGTCTGGCTAGGGGATCTGCAACAGACTCCCAGCACCACCCATGCAGACCTTCCTCTCCCTCCTTCCCAAGGTGATTCAGATCCGGGAAGATCTTTTGATGGTGCCTTTCAACGTCTCATGCTGTGCTACCTTTCCTCCTCGCCTCCCTTGCTTTCCCTCTCCTCCTATGCCCTCCGTTGCCTCTGCTCTGGTCACACCAGCCATTTCACTGACCTCTGGGAACATCTGCTGTCACGGATGGCTCCGTGTAGTAATGTGAGTTCCTCCACACCAGCTTTGCATGAGGCCACATTCGTTTGTGTTATTTCCTACGGACCATCTGCTCCTCCTGAGCCAGAGGAGACCCAGCCCTTTGCTGCCTGTGCAGCGCTCCCGGCTGCTCTTATCTCTACAGGTGCTCCCCATCCCTCCATGGTTACGTCCTTGTTCATCAGCTCCTACTCTTCCAGCACAACCCAAACCAGCATGGAGAGTACATGGCTCTCCTTCGACCTCCGTTCCCTTCATGGTTGAGAGCCTGGCACCAGAACCCAAAAGTTTCTCCCCTCCCGCCATCATGCCTCCTGGCATTAGGAGGAGGGTGTCCATAGAGGATCCCCGCTGACCAAGCACCCAACGCTCGCCGCGGGACCCAGCCTGGGGCTGGCTGCTCCCACCTCGCTGCTGGGACACCCACCCGGCTGCTGGGCACCAGGACAACACATGGCCTGTCCTGAACCTCTGCGCAGAGGAGCACATCCCCAGCGTGGGGGTTTGTCCCTGTTCCCCCTCGGAGGAGCCTGCAATGTCCTTTGAGGGTGCTCAGGTCTTCTCAGCCTCTTCGCTCCAGGCAGATGCTCCCACACTTCTCTCTGGAAAGACCTGGTGACAGCCCTGTCAGTACCAACAGCTTCTTGCAGGCTTGTGCAAATCTCTGATCATAGAATCATAAAATCATAGAATCGTTAAGGTTGGAAAAGACCTCTGAGATCATCAAGTCCAACCGTCAACCCAGCACCATAATGCCTGCTAAACCATGTCCTGAAGTGCCACATCCACACATTTTTTGAACCCCTCCAGGGAAGGGGACTCCACCACTGCCCTCGGCAGCCTGGCCCAATGCCTGACCGCTCTTGCAGTACAGAAATTTTTCTCGATATCTAATCCGAACCTCCCCTGATGTAACTTGAGGACATTTCATCTCATCCTACCGCTAGTCTCCTTACTGCTCTTCCAGTGGATCCAGTCGTTTTAGGTTCGCACTCAAAATCTTCTGTATCTCATCTTTGCTTATCCCTCAGCTTCAGTTTCTTGTTAGAGTCAGAGTCTTTCCCTTTTCCTGCAGGCTAGTGTCTCTGCTGTTCCTTGCCACCCTCAAGCTCGTTTGAAGCACACAGTCACCTTCAGATGCCTTTCTGGTCCTCCTGTGATCTCTCCGAGGTCCCTCCCTCACATTGCTTTCTGCATGTGAACATGAGGTTAACATCTACTGCGCGATATTTGCAAGCAGACACTTTCTTTGTAACCTTTCGAGATTGCTTTTTTTCATTTTGCGATCTGCTCCCACAGTCTGTGGTGGAGAGAGGAAGCAGGAGACCTTCCTGTATCCTCACTAACGGTGCAAACACCATTTGCTCCCATGAAAGGCAGCAGCTGTTCGGCAAGGCAGGGCCCAGCCTGCCACGTTTTGTGGGATCTTTAGACCACGCTCCAGCTGCAGCCCAGGGAAACTGGAGGGAGCAGAGGGGCTGCTCTCATCCGCTCTGCTTTAACAGTCCCTGGGATCCTCGCTGACCGCAGTGGGGGGTCCCAGCTCTCCCCGGTGTCCTTCAGCTGACACAGAGTTGGGGGTTGCCTTGAGGATTGAAATCCCGTGGGCTAAGACCCATGACCTGCCCCCACAGACCCCCTAGAAGCCCCTGGAGCGGGGCATGAGGAGTGCCGGGCAGTGGCATGGCTTCAGGAGGGCTGGTGATGTCCCACGGCAGGGACGAGCGCTCGCCCTCCTTCTACCTGTCCTTGTCTCCTCCTGCTCTCCCTGTAGATGAGTCCCGAATCCCTGCAGCAGGGAAATCTCAGCCGCCCCACCATGTTCCTCCTCCTGGGGTTTTCCAGTGCCTACAGAGCACAGGTGACCCTCTGCCTGTGCTTCTCGCTCGTTTACCTGGTGACAGTGCTGGGGAACCTGCTCATCGTGACCCTCGTCTGGCTGGACGCCCACCTGCACTCCCCCATGTATTTCTTCCTGGGCCACCTCTCCTTCCTGGACATCTGCTACTCCTCCGTCACCCTCCCTAAGATCCTTGGGGACTCCTTCTCACCACAGAAGACAATCTCCTTTGTGGGCTGCATCATGCAGATCTACTTCTTCCTCTGCTTTGGGGGCTCCGAGTGCATGCTCCTGGCTGCCATGGCCTACGATCGGTACCTGGCCATCTGCCACCCGCTCCACTATCCGGCGCTCATGAGCAAGAAGACATGTCACTGCTTAGTGGCTGTTTCGTGGCTGAGTGGCTCCTTCTCGTCTCTGATCCAAGCCTTCCTCACAGCCCGCTTGCCCTTCTGC